AGCTAAACTGGTATAGCACGTCGGGCTATATGAGGTTCCGTGAACGATACTGGTTCGATTACTATCGGAGGACAGATTTCCTATATAAATAACGTATAACAATAAAATATATTAAATAATGGTCGGACGTTTCGTAGTGTGATAAGTAACTAAACTGATGCGTTAATTAATAACCTTCCCTAGGTTACAACAATTTTGATGTATAGTTTTATGAAATACTTGTCATTAACTCACGTTTCTCTCTTCATTACCCATGCCGACGTAAAGCATACGTAGCTTCGCAAGGCCGGTGCAACGAACACATACCATCAACCCGAATCTATGATCCGCCTTCCCCATCCTAATGGGGGTGGGGGCGAATCATATGACACGCACACTCTACCACATCTCAATTTTCATAAGGCAATATTCATATACAATACAGATGTTATTGTAAGCAAATTATGTACAATAATGGGTACTAACGCTATATAGGTGATCAATTCAACAAGAAAAATTGAAAATAAATATAATGTACCTAAATACAAATTTAGAGATATGTCATTGTTGTGTCGGAAACCTACCACCCCTCTTGAAGATGAACTTGTCTGCGTCTGTGAACAAAGACTTTAAATAGTGGCATGTCAGTTGACATGGGGAAGACAGATAGACAGAGAAGTTCTTAGCTGAGCTAGTTATTGACTTCTCAGGCGATTTCTGTACCTTTTTACCAACCTATTAAAACCCTTTTTATTGTAATGTGTTATTTGGCGTTTGTCTCTACTAACCCCAAATCAACATCATAACAGTCATAATAGATCACTTCATCTTAAATAAATCAACAATGTTTAACGGCAATTAAGATATTGTTAAAAAATTAAGATCGTGTTAAAAATTTTGAATAATTTTAAATCATTCAATATTATGGGTAAAAAATAATGAATTTTATATAGTTTTTTTTTTTCAAGAATTAGCATGAGCAAAACAAATTTACGGATTTGGACAAAAAGAACACAGATTGATGTCAAAATGCATGAAAATTGTTCATCCTTTAATTGTCAGTTGTGTTTAGTTTAATTTGAGACGTATATAAATGTAAGTAGAAAAAAACAAATGTTGGTCTGATAGCAGGGTCAAAAATCACTATCCGGGGCCACCGATCAGGCTTGATCATTCCAGTCGGTGGGTTTGGAAGTAGTAAACAATGGTCCTGTTCTTTAGGATGTAATCCTGATATGCATAATGGTTATCCTTTTTTAGATCATTGTTGTTTACGTTGCATATGATTAGAGAGGCCGATTTCTCATCATTTCTGAGGATTCTACACAGAAATGTTTCAGTAAAACGTCAAGACTTTAAAGACAGAGGACAAATCTTCGATCAAACGGAAGTTTTCATTAATATTGCTCAATATTAAAAGGATGGATAAAAGGTAGTTATAATCGCAAAGACTTTACCAAGTTGTTGAAACTTTTAATGAATGATTTGTATTTTATTATTGCAAAAGTTCGTCCGTGATTGGAAAATTGAAAACAAAATTTTACATACTCAAAAAAAATCATTTATTAGATAAGAACAGGGACTCCATTATTTTCAGCTACTGTCTCGCATCCTTTCTTAGAAGTTTTCTTTGTTGTAAGAAGGTTGTGAAGTAGTTTTCGACAGGGGCATTTTTTTAATAATTTTTCTTGATCTTTCGAAACTACGGAACAAATGAAATCCGAGACATATGAGGAGAATACGGTGGGTGCAGTAGTGTTTCCCATTCGAATCTTTAAGCTTCTGCAAGATCAGTTTTGCAACATGCAGTTTTGCTTTCAAGTATCGGAAAATGACACTCGAAGCGTGGTTGATCGTTTAGGTTAAAATCACCCTGAAGAAATGTTCCATATCACTTTTTGTCAATGCGAAGAGATGGAGAGCGAACACAAATAAACATTTTGGGTGTTTTAGTTGCTTACTCCTTTCCAAGATTCGTGGAACATAATATGGCGAGAGTGAGACTTTTCATCCTCCATCTTGTAAAGCATTCGTTTCTGGACAAAACTTCAACATTCAACAAAGTCTAACATGCGCCTGAATGATGCTATTTTTCAATCTGCAACATTCTAGCCATTGGTACCAAAACAAATGCCACACTAAAGTTGCATTCATTTTTATATTAACAATGAAAATCGGACAGGAACTTTTGTAATGATTTAATACAAATGGATTTTATAGATATTAACACAGATCACCTGAGCTATAAAAAACAAGAGTTACAATAGAGTAATCGACTGGAGAATGAAAACAGAAAGCGAATTAAATTAGAAACGACGTTTTTAGTTATTTACAAATGTCCGCAATTTACAGTTATGGGTGACATTTTTTGGCGGGAAGTAGCAAAAATGATTTTCAAGCGTCCAGACGACAGAGAAAACAAATGAACATTTGTCTTGATCTTTCGAGACGGCAGAACAAATGAAATCCAAAAAAGATACGTCAGGAGAATAAGGTTGGTACTGCAGTGTTTGCCACTCGAATCTTTAAGATTCTGCCGGGTCTGTTTTCCAACAAGCTGTTTTGCAACATGCAGTTTTGCGTTCATATGTTGGAATATGACACCCGAAGCGTGGTTGATCGAAATCACGCAAATCACTTTTTGTCAGTCCAAAGAGATAGAAAGCAACACAAATAAACACTCTAGGTGTATTTGTTGCAGTTCCGCCGCTTACTCATTTACGAGATTCATAGAGCGTGGGATTTTTTTTTATCCTCCATCTTGTAAGGCATTCGTTTCTGGACAAAACTTCAACATTCAACAAAAGTCTAACTCGCGCCTGAACGATGACAGTTTTCAATCTGGAACACACCATCCATTGGTAACGAAACAAACGCCAGTCTGAAGTTGCAATCATTTGACATTAACAATGAAAATCGGACAGGAATTTTTGCAGTGATCTAATACAATTCGATTTTATAGATATTAATACAGATCACCTGTGATATAAAAAAATAAGAGGCGCAATAGAGTTACTGGGGGATGAAAATAGAAAGCGAATTAAATTAGAATGGAAAGGAAAACGACATTTTTATTTATTTATAAATGTACACGCATTTATATTTCTGGACGACATTTTTTTGGCGGGAAGTAGCAAAAATGACATTCAAGAATGTAGACAAGAAAGGGAAAAAATGAAATAAAAATATGCGAGTTTATCTCCATCTCTCCTTCATTTGCATAAATATTTTATGAATAATGTTACAAATTATACACTAAAGAGATCCTAAAAAGTAAGATATCAAACTCAAAAGAGAAGAAATGAATATAGAAAGATAAAGGGAGATAAAGAAAGAATAGAAAAAGAAAGAAAGATGAAAAGAAAAAAGGAAAGAGTAAAACGATGAGAAGGAAAGATAGAATGAAGGAAAAACAAAAAAGAAAGAATAAAAAGAAAAAAGAATAGAAAGAAAATATAAATTCTAATAAAAATGCCAAGTAGAATGCCACACGAGATAAAAGAAGAAAGATAAAGAAAAAAATGGAAAAGAAAGAGAGATAAAAAGAAAAAAGGAAAAAGAAAGAGTAAAATGACAAAAAAGAAAGAGAGAAGGAAGGAAAAACAAAGGCGAAAGAATAAAAAGAAAGATAGAAAGAAAATATAAATGTAAAAGAAAAGTCTATGTATAACGACACGCAAGCGAAACTAGAAAGTTAAAGAAAAAGGAAAAAGAAAGAGTAAAATAATAAGAAGGAAAGGTAGAAAGAAGGAAAAAAGCGGAAGAACAAAAAAGAATTATAGAATGAAGATATAAACGAAAGGGAATAGTCCATGAATGACTGGCCACTGAAAAGAAAAAGGATGAAATCGACAAGAAAAAACAACTAAAAAATGAACTGCAGGTATAAGATCTTAGGTAAATCGGGAAAATAAAGAATGCATCAAAATGGAAGAGAACGAAGAAGGACAAAATCAAATAAAGAATGGGAATAAAAGAGAAAAAATTGACACGAAGATAATAATAATAACAATAATAATAGAAATAATAATAATAATAATAATAATAGTAATAATAATAATAGTAATAAAAGAAATAATTATAGAAATAATAATAGTAATAGTAGTAGTAATAATAACAATAATAATGATAATAATAATAATAGTAATAATAATAGTAGTAATAATAGTAATAATAACAATAGGAATAATAATAATAATAATAGTAATAATAGAAATGATAATAGTAGTAATAATAGTAATAATAATAATAGAAATAATAATCGTAATAATCGAAATAATAATAATAATAGTAATAATAGTAATAATAATAATAATAATAGTAGTAATAATAATAATAATAATAGTAGTAATAATAATAATAATAATAATAGTAATAATAGTAATAATAATAATAATAAATTAATAGTAATAATAATATTAATAATAATAGTAATAATAATAATAATAAGAGTAAGAATAATAATCGTAATAATAATAATAGTAAGAATAATAGTAATAATAATAATAATAATAAATAATAATAATAATAGTAATAATAGTAATAATAATAATAATAATAGTAATAATAATAGCAATAAATTAATAGTAATAATAATAATCTATAGTAATAATAATAATTATAACAATAATAATAATAATAAAAGTAGGGAGAAAAAATAGTTAAAAAGAAACGGGTTATCAAAAGAAAAGAACCACAAAAAATACACACACACAAGAAAAAATAGATACAAAATAAGAAAAAGAAACAAAAAAAAAACATAAATAACAATAAAAAAATAAGAGGTCTTCAAGAACTGCAAGAAAAATACAAAACGCACGCAAAAAACTAGATCAATCTAGGAAAAAGAAACCAAAAATAACTAAACAAAAATATTGTAAGAAGCAAGAAAAAAAAAACATCAGTAGAAATACAATCAGGCAATTACCAAATAACTTCTGTTGCCTCAGTGGGGGTTTGCAATACTAAATTTACACAAGCCGCCCGACCTTTTCTTTCTAGATTACCTTTCCTTTTACATGATGCTTATCTACCCTCGGATATGGGTGGGCGTCGGGGATCACAAAGAAGTTAAAAAGAAGAAGAAAAAAAAGATGGTGCGGATATCGGATCTAGCTATCGTCAGATGATAGGAAATGGCCGAAGAGAAGATCTATCGGCCGGACATTCTTTTTAGCATTAATCACTAAAAAAAGGTCAGGAAAAGAGATCACCGCTAACGTCTATCTTTACACTGGTTTTGGCATTCCTTTCTTTTCTTCCCCCATTTATTGATCTTGTCTTTTTTTTTTTGTATCTCTAAAGTGTTTCTTTTTCCCCTTTTTTATTTTGACCAATTGATGGAAAATTACGAATTAATACGATCAGCTGGGCACTAGTGTCAGGAAAATTGTTATGAGACTTTTAGAACGGCTTTCAAAGTGTAATCAAACTAACTTGCCCGACCGACGGTGAGGATCTATTGAAACTACGGACATTGATTCATGGTCAGTCATCCAAAGAGGGGTATGTGTGAGGCCGGTAAATGCGAGCTTTGGACAGATCCCTGTTAAGTAAAGTCCACTCTTCTCTTACTAGCTAATAAGCACTCATCAACGAACTAATATCATCATCTCGACCCTTTGTACGACTAAAGTTCCGTTCTTTCCTTCCTACTTTCACTTTCAGTTTCGTTGTCTCTACCGTTAATTCAATTTTTATTCCATTCCAGGAATGTTTTTATCAGTGATAAGGTTTCTTTTTTGACAAAAGCCCTCAGCTTTTTACTTCATGTCCGCTCACAAAATCCTCACTATTTATTTTCTCTTCCATTTGTCTCATTTTTGTTATGGATGATGACTAAACTGGCCTTCGTATAGTACTCGGCTAGAACAGAAGCAAAGGGCCAAACATTGTATTGTGTCAGCTTTCTTAAGAAAAAGAGCTAGATTGTTTCTTGTGAAAATTATCATTCAAAATTCTCTTTCCTCGAAGAGATATCTTGAACATAAGTGGTAAATACGTAAATATTTCAGTCAGAAAGTAAGCAGCTTGTTTCCATTCTTCTCTCGCCAATTATTTTTATCTATCTATCTATCTATCTATCTATCTATCTATCTATCTATCTATCTCAGTGCATTAATATCTATTTATCTATCTTTATTCATACTTTCTATCACATTATGTTCGTGTCTACCTATTTATCTATCTCAGTGTTCACCTATTTATCTCTATCTATCTATCTATCTTTTCATATCTATCTATCTATCTCATCTATTTCATTCATTCATTCATCTATCTATCTATCATCTATCTATCTATCTCATCTATCTATCTATTAATATCTATTTATCTATCTATCACATTATGTTCGTGTCTACCTATTTATCTATCTCAGTCTTTTTCATATCTATCTATCTATCTATCTATCTATCTATCTATCTATCTATCTCAGTGTATTAATATCTATCTATCTCAGTGTATTAATTTCTATCTATCTATCTATCTCAGTGTATTAATATCTATCTATCTATCTATCTATCTATCTATCTATCTATCTATCTATCTCAGTGTATTAATTTCTTTTTATCTATCTATGTATCTATCTATCTCATTATTAATATCTATCTCAGTGTATTAATATCTATCATCTATCTATCTATCTATCTATCTCATGTATTAATATCATTCATCTATCTATCTTCTACGTTTTCCTCTTTCTGTTGCCTGCTGTGGCCTCCAATGAATGACAAACGCAGGAATGAAATATAACAAATAAATGTATTTATACAATAATACAATTGATAATACGGTTAGTAAATCCAAAAACGTGGTTAGAAGCAGTAATATATATATATATATATATATATATATATATATATATATATATATATATATATATATATATATATATATATATATATATACAGTCTGGTAAATCCAGTCTCGAAGTAGGACTTCCCCTTAGAGTCGACGTGCTTGTAACTGTGACTTCTACAAGCGGTTACCTCACACTATTACTCTACCTCCAACTCAATCACAATCCTGCTCTGTCTACTCTGACTGACTCTGGGTATTTAACTGCAGCAGTCCAAGCACACTGGTAGAGTCCACTTGTATGAAAAAAGGGTGGACCCCATAACATTGCCTATCTACGTTTCTCTCTCTCTCTCTCTCTCTCTCTCTCTCTCTCTCTCTCTCTCTCTTTATTTATGTTCCGTTAAAAAGTAGGATAAAACTTAATATGAAACCTGAAACCCAATGCTAAACAGAATTCTCTACACCTCTTCAAAAGTATTGCGAACCCGGTGATAAGCAAACATATCTACTGCTACTAAGAGGTGAAAATGCAAATAAATAGTAAATAAAAAATCAGAGTTTCAGTCGGAGTCGTTAGAAACATACAGGAAGTAGAAGTTTAGAAGGAACCGGAAACCCAATCCTAAATAGGAAAACAATGATAAACCCTACTTCTGTTCAAAAAACCAAAGAGGTGTGTGAACTGGAAGATAGACTTTATCAAACCTATTGGACTTACCATTATCATAGGAGTAAATCGTTGTGTCATTTGCATAAATGCCGAGTCGAGAATTGCTGACATCGCGTAAGTCATTGATATAAATAAGAACACAATACTTTACTGGTACGAATCTCTCTCTCTCTAATATTTTTGTTTGCTCTTAGGTGTGCTCTTGCTTTAAAAGGTTGAGGAACACCGTATTAACTTGAAACAATGTCTTTAGTAAAGAAGCAACTTCAATCAAAATAGTTCTATTGACAAATGCAGAGAATACCATGGACAAACATAAAACATTCGACGGTACCTATTGATACCTTTTAAGTTTCAATATAGAACGAATATCTCTCATTAGCTAAAATTTTTCAGTTTTATTGCAAGTTTCGGCTCCTTATTTAAATGTATTAGGCTTCTCAACCCTAAATAACATAAAAAATAAGAAGTGAGAAAGACTACGCTCAACTGATGAAGAAATGGGGGTCTGCTTTTAAATTCGACCAAACATTGAAAATTTCACGAAAAAACACTAGACACTGGTTTCACACTAAATAATCTGCACTAATCGTTGAAAAGAATCAATGAAATAAAGTAAGTTTATATTTGCATGTTCATTTTTTAAAATCTATGTTTTTATTTCATAACGTTTAAATGTATATCCTTTAAAATTGCCGAGATATTTTCATTTGTTCCTAGGTCTGCCGCTGCTTAAAAAGCTTGAGAAACACTGGGTTGTACGGTGGAAAATAATTCATCACCCACAAGGACATAGAGACGCTTTTCGACTCTGGAAAGTGTCGCTTAGAAGCTCCCGTCGTAATATAACAACAGCTCTCTTTTCTTTGGCAGATCTGGCTCTAATAAAGGTCGAGAATAACACGTGGAGTCAGGTACATATTTGTAGTTTCGTTCTTTTATTTATAATTTTTTTATTTATGTGAATTCGGGTTCTCAAAACTAAATAAAATCAAAAATAAGAAGCGAGAAAGACTACGTTAAACTGAAGAAGAAATTGTGGTCTGCTTATCACACATTCAACCAAACATTGAAGAAATCGTGAAAAGACACCAGGCAAAAGTTTCAAACTAAATAGGCTGCAAGAATAGTTGAATAGAAATATAGAAATAAATTAAGTTCATATATGTGTGCGTATTTTTAAAAAAAAATCTAGGGTTTTATTTCATAACATTTAAATGTATTCTCTTTAAAACCTTTGCTACATGTGACGTGATATTTTCATTTGCTTGTCGTTGCTTAGAAAGCTTGAGAAACACTGCTCTAAATTGTAAACTCATGTTCTGTGATGGCTAGCTTGAATTAAAAATGCATGGTTTTATTTCATAACATTTCAATGAATACCCTTTAAAAATTTTGCAACATGTGACGTGATATTTTCATTTGGTAACATTGCCGTTACTTTGAAAGCTTGAGAAAGCCGCTACTAAGTTGTAAATACATATAATGTGACGTTCCCAGCTTTCATTAAAATCTATGGTTTTATTTTATAATATTTAAATGCATACCCTTTAAAAATTTTGCTAACATTTTGTTTCCATATAAACTAAATTTGGCAAGTGAAAATTGCACTGAAAAATGCCGTAAGAATTAATCTAAAATCAAGAAAAATCGAAATTTATCAAAATGGTCCCAATATAAGGGAAACAAAGATGTCAAGTTAAATTGAATCTAGGATTTGCACAAATCACGCCCAATTTCCCTAAGAAGAAAACAGTTTTTATTTTTTCAGCCGCAATTCATTCATTATAACTCATCTTTCATTTGTTCTTTATTGGTTCAATATAAATATCTACCCAACCGCCATGACAGCAACTAAAACCGCTGTTAGTATCTGCAATTAACCTTCACGCTACTAATTTTTTTCTTGTCTTTGAGAGCCGTTTCTCTTGCTTTCAGCTCCCGTTTGCACTTACTGCCCGGCATTCACGCCCATTCTCTCAGCCACAACCTCTGTATTCCTGACCCCAAGTTTTCTCTTGATTGTTTTTTTTTTTCTTTTTTTTGCTAGAATTGCATTGTCCGTTTTATTATTCGGTTAACTTGTTTCTTCTTTTATGGTCAGAGCACTAAATATGTGACAGTCAGCCATTCTTATCTCATCAGGGTTTAATTAGCCCCTGTGTCCACTCACTGAGAGGGAACGAAAATAAACAAATGACGTTGAGAAAATAGATAAGAGCTGACGATTGAATCGGGGATGAGTTTTGGCGTGGGAGGCAGGAGGACAGATATTAAGATGATGAAAGGGGATGGGAGCGCAGATGAAGGAAAAATACGACCCAAAATTGAATCTAGTGTAAACCAAGACCAACACGACAATATTAGAATCAGTCCGTTTATCTCTTTCGAATTCAAATCAAGGCTCGATATATATATATATATATATATATATATATATATATATATATATATATATATATTTATAAAGGCTCAAACAAATATTCCATGGTTATTTATTCCATCTCGGTTATCAATTTTTTTTTTATTTGTATGAATTGATGAATACGATTCCAATGTAATAAATTATAACCATGGAATATTAGTGTTTGACCCTTTTATAAGATCAGCGTTCCGATTAAATATGATCACGTCGTCGTCACGATACAACCTCCTTTTAAAGGTATTTTTGTTACTGCCAATATAATTTTTGAACAGGTGGATATTCACTAGATGAAATCGTACATAGGTAAACAAGAGAATCATTAAGACACCTATTTTGTAATGGACATTCGTTAGGAATTCTAGAATTATACAATTTAGTATTATTATTGTTTTCTTTTTTGGAATGACGATTATTACTTTCGTTTAAGTGTTGATTTAAAATTTTATTATTATGATTTTAACAATTTTTTCCAAATTATCTGTGAAACTATAACTTAATTTAAGTGTCTTTTTATTAAAATCTTACTAAGAGGAGTATTACTGGGGAAATATTTCCCAATTAAATTGAGAAACTTCTGACCTAACTTAGTGCTAACACTTTCGGTAAATATGGGAGTATATACCAAATGATTTTTCTGTTTCTATTTTTTTCCTGCTTTCTTTATTTAACGTATTTAATTTTTTAAGTCGTTGTTGTGAAAATTGCTACGTTTATAAAATGCCTCTACACTGGAAGAGTTATTACTAATTCTAGATTCTATGGAATAGGCTATGTGTTTGATTATGAATGGAGGGTGATTAGAATATAGGTGGATATATAATAGATTTGCATTAGCTCTCATGTATGGTTGGTATGTATTATGACTAATATATATATATATATTGATAATATTAGTGGTCATGGTCATATATATATATATATATATATATATATGTGTGTGTGTGTGTGTGAATTATTTGTATTGTTCGGACTGTTGTACGACTTTTTCGGCCGTTGAGGCTTCAGAGTTCTTCAGGATATATATATATATATATATATATATATATATATATATATATATATATATATATATATATATATATAAATATAACAAAGAAAGAACAAAGATATATAATCCGGTGTTCTTACAGATATTTTTATTTTTACAAAATAGTGCTCGATGTAAATTTACAGAGCATTAATATTATAATTAATTGATTTAAAATATGGTTTTTTCCGCTACACAGTTCTAACCATGTTTCAAAAAATGGAAGTTAAAAAGCCCGAATTTAATTTTGTAATTAAATTTAAGACATTAGTTCCATTTCGTCCTCAAGCGTATTTTGGAGTGAAATTGAACTAATGTCTTAAATTTAATTACAAAATTAAATTCAGGGCTTTTAGCTTCCATTTTTGAAACATGGTTAGAACTGTGTAGCGGAAAAACATATTTTAAATCGATTAATATATATATATATATATATATATATATATATATATACATCTTGATAACTCACTCTAATAGCGATACAGTTTAAAATGAATGTGAAAAATCTTCTTGAAGCAGTTATTTTATTTTTAGTTCAAATCTAATAGATTAAATTTAATATTTGCAGTGAAAAAATAATGTGCTATATTTCAAATTGTTTTTGATTAACAGAAAAATCAATGAAATCTGCCATATTGACAAATCTGTCAAAAAAACGTAATTTTCTTTATTAAAAAATCTTTTAAAAGAAATATACTCTTTTGAAACGCTTTTTAAGAAATGCTTAATTAATATGAATTGAAACAAATATTGCTTGCTTTTTGTTTATAAAATCACAGAAACGCATTTTTTAACAAATTTATTTTGTTTGGGAAATATATCCAAGGAGATAATATACATAAAATGTCGCATACAATGTGTAGGCCGTTTTCAGATTATATTTTAAACTACCCAGTAATCTTAAACCTTTTATATATTCTAAGCATTTTTTATTTGTTTGAATTTTGAGCATTTTGGTTTTATATTCTTATTTACGAATAAGATGAAGTATTGTTAGAGAATTACTAATAAATTTTCAATTTATTATAGTTACCGCTCTTCTAGAAATGCCGTAAATGGACGTCAATATTTAAAAGAATTTATACGTTTATACACGCAAAGAATTCAAAATTCTTTTTAAAATTCTGGGGTCGCTGAATTGTACTAAGCTTTTCCATTTAAGATTAGTAAATACAGTTTTCATTTAATAACAATATTACTTGACCGTTGCAAACTAATACAGAATCTTAAATATTTAAAAGTTTTAATAATGTAATTCAATGAAACTAATTTCTTAGTTTCA